CACAGACACTGAAAACACTTGACCAAATTCAATATCCATCCTTGACAAAAACTAGTCATACAGGAATCAGTAGATATTTCCTTAAAATGACAAACTAATTTTAGGTCAACTCAATAGTCAGAAATGTGCTTACTGGGGGAAAACGAGACATTTTTCCACTAACGTCAGGAACAGTATGAGAATGCCAATTAACATCACTATTATTTTATACTGTTCTGATGGCATGTAACAGTCCATTGCATTTAACCTTCTTTAGCTTTAGTTTGAATCTGTAAAAGAGTAGTACTTCACTGACTATGCAGAGGCATTTGACTGTGTAGATCACAATAAATTCTGGCTAACCTTAAGAAGAATGGGAGTCTCAGAACACTGATTGTGCTTACATGAAACCTATACTTGGACCAGGAGGCAGTCATCAGAACAGAACAAGAAAACACTGCAGGATTCAAAATTAGGAAAGGAGTGCATCAGGAATGTGTCCTATCTCCAAACCTTTTCAATCTATATGCAGAACAGATCATTTGAGAGGCTAGACTTTATGAGGATTATGGCATCAGGATTGGAGGAAGACTCATAAACAACCTGCACTATGCAGATGATACAACCCCGATTGCTGAAACTCAAGAGGACCAAACATGTTTGCTGCAGAAGGTAAAGGTCTGTAATCTTCAATATGGATTGAAATCAAACATCAAGAAGACAAAGATTCTTACGACTCGGCCAATTGGCAGCACCATGATGGATGGAGGCTTGCTTGGCTCCACAGTCAACAATCTAGGCACCAGAAATCAGAAAATTAAAAGATGAATTTCACTGGGGAAATCTGCTGTCAGGGACCTCTCCTGATTGCTGAGGAGCAATGATGTTAGTCTTGAGACCAATGTGTGACTGATCCCGGCTATGTTCTTCACAACTACATGCTATTCCTCAGAGAGCTGCATAATGAATGACTAAGTATGACAGAAGAATTAATCTTTTTGAGTTGTAGTGCTGGAGAAGAGTATTGAACATATCATGGACAACAAGAAGAACAAATAAGTCTGTCTTGGAGAGAGTGAAACCAAGTCTCTCTTTAGAGGCAAGGATTTTGAAGCTCTGTCTCACATACTTGGGGCACGTGGCTACCAGGCCTTGGAAAAGGACAACATGCCTGGAAGGGGTGGAGAGACAGAACAGAAAAGGAAGACATTCGATGATAAGGAGTGTCGGAGCCAGTGAGACTGGCTCAGTACAGGGCAGACTTCAGTGTTCTTGTACACATGGTCATTATGAGTCACAGGTGGGTGACACATAACAACAAACAACAATAAAATTCTATGACAAAAATAACTTTTACCAAAGTCAAGAGACAAATGACATCTAGAAAACTCCTATTGTAAGTTAACTGTGATTTATACAGAGCACCTACAGATTTGATAAGACCAGTCACACAATAGTAAAACACATAGATAAGTCAAGAAAAGAGAACACAAATAAGTCCTGGTTATAAGAAATGGCAGGGAACCTCTACTGTAATATAACAAACAAAAATTCAAAATACTGAAGTACAATTCTTTGTATACCTGCAAATATCTTAAAACTTGATAATATAATCTAACAGCAAGGGCTCTGGGAAATAGGCATGTTCATAATCTGCAAGTGAGAATATAAACAGGCAAAAACCTACAGAGGGCAATCTGCAGTATCTGTCAAAACTACAAATGTTCATGTTCTTTCTCCTTGCAATTTCATTTGTAAGGATTCATTCTATAGCTATACTTGCAGGAGTCCATCAGGGTTGGATCTTTTCACTATACGTATCCAATTTGCATGCTGAACAAAAATGTTTGAAAAGGGGAACTATAAGAAGAAGAATGTGACAAAAGGACCAGAGGAAGACTTACCAACAATCAGTGGTAAGTAAATGACACAACCTTGTTTGCTAAAAGTGAAGATCTGAAGCACTTAACTTTGAAGATCAAAGACAATAGCTCTCAGACTAGACTGCATGTCAACATAAAGGAAACCAAGATCCTCACAATTCATCCAATAAGCAACATCATAATAAATAGAGAAAAGACTGCCAAGGATTTTATTTGGATCCACAATCAATAACCCATGGAAACAGCAGACAAGAAATCAAATGACATATTGCACTGGACAAATCTGTTGCAAAAAAAATTGCTTTAAATTATTAAAAAACAAAATTATCACTTTAAAGACTAATGTACACCTGACCTACCCCATGTTACTTTCAAATGTCTTATGTGCATGAGAAAGCTGGACAATGAATAAGGAAGACTTAAAAAGAACTGATGCCTTTGACCTATGAAGTTAAATATGTCATGGGAATAAAACTATACTGGAAGAAAAACAGCCAAAAAGGCTTCTTAGAATTGAAGATGACTAGCCTTTATTTCATGCACTTGAGACACGTTGTTAGGCAGGACCAGCCCCTGGAAGACACCATGCTGGTAAAGTAGAGAGACAGTGAAAAGGATGAAGTTTCTGAATGAGATGAAAGGATGTGGAAGCTACAAAAATGGACTCAAGCATAATAATGGTTGTGAGGGTGGTGCAGGACTGGGCAGTGCTTTGTTCTGGTATGTGTAGTGTTGCTATGAGGCAGAAGAACTGACTAGACTGTACCTAACAACATCAACAACATACCTGTACATATGCAAAATGGCTAATAGTTTCAGTTTGTACAACAGAAGACTGAACCAATTCATAAGGCTCTCAATAGAAGACTGCTGAAAAAAACCCCCTTTCTCTGGCAGATTCATACTGCTGTTGTTGTTATGTATCATTCAGTTAGGACTGACTGAAAGCTGACCCTCCTGGGGGTTTTCAGAGGCTATAAATTGCAATGAAGGAGGCTGTCCATCTTTCCCTCATGGAGCAGCTAGTGGATTTGAATCCTGTCTTTGGGTTGGCAGCTCAAATCCTTACTACTAGGCCACCAGAGCTAGTTATAATATACAGGCATTATTTTTTTTAAAAAAGAGTAAATATTTTCTATAAGGAAATGGAAAAATAATCAAAAGTGCAGAAAAATATGTATATAATGTCATCATTCAGGTAAAAAAGTGAGATACCTTTTTATTTACTTGCATACACACACACACACACACACACACACACACACACGATATCCTTGGAAAAACTATTCAAGAAAATACTAATAGTAGAATAGCAGAAGGAAAATCTTGATTATGGGGAGAAGTGGATGCTTATGTTATAAGGTTGCAAGACTTTTTCACTGTATCTATTTAAAATACTTTTGGCGCTCTAAGTGAATTATCTATTTCAAAACATAACAAAAGCAAGCAAGAGGGGGAAAATTATGGCAAGTAAAATCTGGGCCAGAAATCTAAAGATGAACAAATTTGCTTTCCAATAAGGGAAGAGGTGGAGTGCAGGAGATTCCCAGATGAGTTAAGGAACAGATTATTGGACATGTGGCTTATGAGCACTTAAGAGGAAATGGGTAATTGCAACTGAAGTTTTACTAAGAATAGAATATGAAAAAATTAACCTCATTTTCCTTGTCTAATCAGGACTCCAAGATAGAAATACTGGGAAATGGCAAGACAGAACTATTGAGAAATGCCAAGATCACAAAGTATCTTGATTTCAGTAAGGCCTCTATACTCCTGAATTACCCTACAACAAAGGAAGAAAAATGTGGGCTTTGGATGTAAACAATCTGAGGGTAATAATTCATGAGTCACAATCAGCACAAGAGAGCCCCCAGTAATACACTATAAGACTTACCACAATACCTTAATTGATTTTTGCTGATAATCTAAAAGAAGATAAAGAATGTTTATCAAATTAGCAGACAAGATTGAAAGAAAACAATGAAAGAAAAATTTTTAAACATGTTTAGACGCTGAACTAGGCATTACAGTGGTTACTACCAAAATGAATTTCAACAGAAACAAATGCAAATTTACTTTGTTTTTACAAATATCTACAGGATGGTAGAGCTTCATTTAGTAACAAATATGAAAGAATTTAAAGTGTCTATAAACTCCACAGTGACTTCAGAAGAAGTTCTAAAATCTCAGGTTGAACTACTCCTGTCAAAGCAGTATGTGTTGAGGAGCTCACATTTAGAGCTTTTTAACCTGTCTGGTCCCCTTAAATGATGATGGAAGACTAGCAGAATTGCCAAGGATTTGGTAATCAAATCAGTAGAAAGAATCTAAGGAGCATGGCCTTGTAAAGAAAGTTATGAAGGGAAATGGCAGTTTATCTTCATATATCTGAAGGATGGTCACTTGGAAGAAGCATCATTAGACTTCTATGACATTCCAGAGATATAACTAGGACAAAGAGGAAGAAGTGATACATGAAGCAGTGACTTAGTACAATAAAACATTTTAGCAGGAAATGAGTAGTGATAGGTTAGGCCATCTTGCCAGACAGAATGGTCTTTTTATCAGTACTACTTAAGCAGAGGCTCAACTGCCACAGTTCAAGAATGTGTGAGAGAAGGGCTTTCATTAGCTAGGAAGTGAAATAAACTGTGATTTCAACTAAACAACTAGGACATGGGTTGCATGCTGCTTTAGAAGAACAGTGGACTATTAAGACATGTTTGTAAATCTCATCTCAATCACACCACTCACTTTGTTCCATTCACATCTGAATTAATAAATGAGGTTTAACACTGATATAATCTCTTCTCAATGGTCACAATGTCTAGCTTTTAGTTCTTACATTCCCTTTGCATTCTCCTGTCAGTTCCGTACTTTGGCTTAGGCCTAAGAACTACTGGTCTATAGATTCCTTAAGGTAGAACCCTATGTTCATTTGTGTGTTCAGCTTAATACCTTGCATTTTTTGGTTGCTGAGGGAGGGTGTTCAATCCATCTTTGCTGAGAGCTATATGGCAGACACGGCACAAGGCAGCTCAGAAAGAAGATTTTTTAAAAAATCCAGTACTACATCAGTTCTTGCTTACCAGTAAAAAATATCCCTTCCACTAGTATCCCAACTCCTTCTTGGCTTACCATTACTGATTTCTGGGAGGTCAAACTTAGTGAAGTCCCACCACTGGAGCCGGTAAGTAGTATTAGCAATGTTACTGGCCACTGCAGACTGTCCATCACCAATCACGGCCCCTGGTGAGGAAGAAGACAAAGAGAGTACATTACATTATATAACTACATATACCCCTTGCAGAATATAAAACAATACTATGTTTAATAAGAGACAGGGCAGAGGAGAAACAATAGCCAAAGCTAGAGAAAACTGATGGGTCCAATCTGTCAAAGACTTGACTCAAAGAGAAACCAGAAGGACTTCTTAAGGAATATTACTACATAGAAATACCATTCTCTCTTTTTTTACAGAGCAATGCTTTACTGTTCATGATGTGGCAGGTATTGCACACAATCCAAGAGGCTTAAAACCTAAAGAGGTAAGTTTTCAAAAGAAAATACGGAGAAAGAAAAGGAAAGGGGGCACTGCTAACAACAATAAAAAAACAAAATGACAAGAGCATTTCATTTTCTGGATGTCTTTGTAGAGAGCAGTGTTCCCTGGGAGAAAGAATCTCCTCCTTTTGTATCTGACCCTTTTCCTAATAAACCATTTCAAATCGAGGCTTCCATTAGGGCCGAGGCAGCCAGCACACAACTCACTGGCTGGCTACAGAGACAATAAAGAATAAATGAGGTAATACTTGTTGATCTATTCTGAACCCCTGGCATGTAACACAACAGACATTTATAAGCCATGCTTTGTAGCATTAGAATATTTTTATTAAGGCAATATTTTATAATCCCTCCTATGAGAACTTCCTTGAATTAAGATTCACTGTTTCACTTTCTGAGATATACACTTCTGTATGACATTTTTTCCTTGGTTACCAATTAAATAAAAAAAATGGATTTTTCTTAAAAAACAGGGTGACACTTTAATTTGCAGTTGTATTTCATTTACATGAACATGTCATTTCCTCCTCCTCTTCCTTCCGTGGAGCTATTTCACAGACAACCACCCTTCTGATCAGACATAGCTAAACCTTCTTGGGAGAAAAGAACATTCTTGTGTGCTAGGTAACCTAAATGGCATTCGCTGCTACAATACTAAACTTGTTATAGCTTACTGGGCTTGGAATAAAGGACAGGTTTATCCCATCCTTTTCATAGCCTACAGACTTCCTCATCTGCAATATCACTGCAAAAAGGTCCTTGTTATCTATGTGTG